GGTGGGCACGGCCTCCCCTGGAGGGTGGTTGGTGGCTTCTGTAGGCTTGGTCAGCAGGATGGTGGGCACGGCCTCCCCTGGAGGGTGGTTGGTGGCTTCTGTAGGCTTGGTCAGCAGGATGGTGGGCATGGCCTCCCCTGGAGGGTGGTTGGTAGCTTCTATAGGCTTGGTCAGCAGGATGGTGGGCACGGCCTCCCCTGGGGGGTGGTTGGTGGCTTCTGTAGGCTTGGACGGCAGGATGGTGGAGATGGGGTCCCCTGAGGGGCGATCCTCTTGGTGGGAGGATGTGGTTGCCATGGCAGAAGGAGGGGAGCTGGCTTCCATGGCCAGCATGGCGCCCACAGGAGAGTGTGTGTCTGGGTGGGATGTCGTCTTCTCCGTAGGCACTGTGGCCTGTGAGGAGGGTCTATCCTCATGCTGTTCCGGCTTCACCACAGGCGCAGGGCCAGCTGCCCCCAGGGAGCGTCTGGTTGAGCTGGGAGGTGCTGTCACCATGGTGCCTGAAGATGTGGCTGAGGGGGAGACCTGCAGAGATTCCCTGGGGGCTGGTTCCTGGATGGCAAACGCAGGCACTTCAGTCAGTGCCGAGAGCAGGAAGAGGCCTGGGGGGAGACAGAGAGAAGAGGTGAAAGGTCAGCCCTTTCTCACCCTGGATGCTGCAGACACCTGGGGTTGAGGGGCAGGTGGGAACATTCCAGAAGCCACGCCACTGCCGTGACACTCAAATCAAACACAGAACCCCAGGGACATGGCACTTGTCCGGAAGAGAAGCCAGCATCAGGGGACAGAGAGGCAGCTGAACTGGGCTGACCCAACCTCTCCTGAAGCCTTCTGCAAGGGCCCCAGCTCAGAACCTCAGGACAGGCTGTGGCCTCCTAGTGCCGGCCACCTCTCTATAGCTGGGGGAGCTGAGTCCAGTGGAACAGTCTAGTGGGGAAGTGGAGGGCTGAGGAAGGCCTGAGGGGGCACATAAAAAAGTCCCCACGCTGCCTTGCTGAAGCTCCATTTATACACTAGACGGAGGTACCAACAGGAGACCTGTGCCTGCTCAGGTGCGCAGGGACCCACAGGGTGCGCAGGGACCCACAATCCCAGAGCAAGGCGGAGTTGTCCCTGTGCTGGGCAGGAGGTCCCAGAGAAGGGTCCCTAGGCTGGCATTCTGGCCCTCAGCACATCCCTGTGCGTCCCCTGGCAAGCCCTCTTGGAGTAGAGATCGCCCCTCTGAACTTTAAAAATAAAATCAGAAGTTTTGAATGAGAGTCTTCTGTGTTCCCTGAGAACAAAATGCATCCGGTCAAAAACTTTCTATGTGCTTTAGACACATGTCTAAGTGGGTGGGTTTTGTTTGTTGCCTCTAGTTAAAGCTAATCCCTTATGTGACCAGGAGACAAAAATCTATTCAGATTACAGAGGACGCAGCATCAGCCCGGTTGCCCCTTACCACACACCACAGATTGGGGCAAGCTGATCTCTACTGCCGAGGGGGTGGAGGGGCCTGGTTCTGACCCCTCAGCTCTTCCTGGGTCACATGAACACTCTTCTTGGTCCCTCTTGTGACCATAGCGCCTACTAGCCTCCCCAAATCTCTGACAACGCTCTCCTTGGGATTTCAGCAGGACAAACGGACAAAGCAGGGGTCCTCTCCGTGATCCTGGCCCCTGGCTGGTAAGCAAAGGCCGTCTCTAGGAGAGTCTCTAGGGAGCAGGGAGAATGAGGACCACCGTGGAGGCAGCTTCTACTGAGCTCCTTCACCGGGTCCTTGGCGGCTGTGAGCTGCCTGCTCTGGTTATGGCTGGCTGGCCGTGGGTTGGTTACCCTCCTTCGTCTATCTGCCTAGCCAAGGCTGCTCCGGGATCTACTTCCCAGTGTGAACCATCTACACACAGACCCTTGTTCCAGTCTCTCCTTTGTGAGGGAACCTCAAATATGATAGGCACATTTCTTGATCCAAGGCACTCGAGCCATCTGAATGTCAGAAGTCAGGACCACCGGCCCTACAAATAGATTGTCCTGGTGGAGCTAAGCGGTGTGGCCCAGGGTGATCCAGAACCGGTCACAAGATTCCTTCTGTGGGCGCTTATGACTCTCCTCCTCCTCCTTCTCCCAGCCCCTCCGCTTCCTCCTCCTCCATGGGGGGGATTGACCAGGAAAGCATGCACTCTGAGGGTGTCTTGTTTTTTCAAATCACACTTCTGAGGTGTGACCCCAAACTGTCTGTCTTCAAGAAGTATGCCCCAGGGCTTCCCAGCCCATGGGTCAGGAGCTGCTCTGACCCAACCAACCCATTGCCGTCACATGGGTGCTAATTCCACTGCACTTCCATAGCTCAGAGGAGCCGGGAGCAGAGGGCTGTCTGGGGATGCCTGCACCCAGTTGGTGGCTGCAGCCACCGCTGGACTTAAAACTGTGGGGCCAGAGGATTCCTAAGAGGGAACATCAAAGGGTTGGGTCTAATTGGAGACCAGAGACCTGGAGACTGCAGACTTTGGGCAGGGATCTCCTGGGCAGTGTAAAGCTTTACACAGACACCAGCTGAGCCAGGGACAGCATGGGTGGGTCAGGGCCCTGCCTCCAGAGGACTTCTGTGGCACCCCACCCAGTGGCAGAGGGTTAGAGTAACTGGGCCTTTACCGTATTCAGGAAAAGACTTTCCTGCCATGAGCATCGCAGGAGTGGACACTGCTGGGGAGAGAGGACCGGACTCCTCGCTGCCATCTGCACAGGGTCTGAAGTAAAGATGTGTGGCCTTGCTGCCGGTACTTCTTCGTGTTTGCTTTCCTCACAGCCAGCCTCTCCAAGACTGGTTTCCTCTCTCCAGGATTGTTGCAACACCCCTTGAAGAGGACTTCGGGCAGGAGTGGGCAATGCCAACCCCGGGCACGATGGGGTTTTCCTTGGAGGATGGCATTTAGACGCCACAGTAAGCTCACCTAATTCAACCCGCTCAGTGCACAGATGGGGCAACAGGAAGTGTGGAGTGACTTCCCAGGGCACACAGCTGGGGGGGGGGGGGCAGCCCGCATTACAGCCTGGGACATTGCTTCGAAGCCACGTTTTATCTGTGTCACTTGAATAGAGATCTATCGCTACAATGTCACACAGCCCAAACACCAACTTCGACCTCCACTGTCACCTTCGATATGGAAATCAGACCAGCTTTTACCTCTCTTCCTCTGCACAAAGGGGAATGACTGAAGGAGACCCACATTGTCACAATACACTTGCAAGGTTTCCAACCCAGGGCTCCCCTAAACAGATGCAAATTTTCATTCAAGGCCCTTTGTGCTGGCCTGCCCAATTCCCCCTCCCCACAATCTGGGGCTACCACCTCCTTGCATATCATTTGCATTCATTTGAATAATGGTCTCTAGCAGTTCTAATTCCAAATACATAAGAGAGGCTAAAACTAAAATTTTGCTTGACGTGCTTGAAATGCGGAACGGATTTTTCTGAACATGTTGAAATAAGGACACGTTGGGGTGGGAGGTGGCGACTGGAGGGCTTGCAGGGACACAGATGTTACAGGAGGGCCTCCACCCTCATGGACGGATAGCATTCCAACACACACCCGCTCCAGGAGCCCAGTGAGGACAAGCCCCTCCTCCTTCTGTCTGTCTGGTTGGCTGCCCACAGCCCGTATTGAGTGAGATACATGCATCAGGCCAAGGCAAGGAGATTGTCTAAGGGAGGAGCGGCCTACGCACGGAGCGCTTCCTAGTGCTACATGCATCAGGCCAAGGCAAGGAGGAGATTGTCTAAGGGAGGAGCGGCCTACGCACGGAGCGCTTCCTAGAGCCATTCACCCAGGGCTGGAGGGCGAAGGCCGCAGGGCACACTTCAGCCCCAACACTGATGAAGTGGGCACTCTGACCCGCCCAGGAGAGGAACCGGAACCTGCCAAGGTCGCCCAGCTGGAGAGTGAGAAGCTAGGGATGAGCTCGGGCAGTGTGGTACCAATGACCACCTGCCCCCACCTCTCTCCCCACATTCAGAGCAATGATCCACACTCTTCTGCGAAGTGATGCTCTCTTGCTGGCCTCTTGCCTTTTCTTCCCTCTTATTCTTTTCTCTCTTTCTGGTCCAGGACACTCTATGACACCTTCAGTGTTCTTGAAAAAAATCCACTGGCTTAAATTTATTTTATGAGTCACTGGGGGATGTTGCAACAGGGCATTAACCAGGCTGGAAATCCTGGCATCTCAGTGCAACCATAATAGAGAGAGTGTGCAATACATGCATGAGCATACACGGGGGCACACATGATAACACAGGCCAGTTTCCCCTTACACATTTAAATGGCCAACCTGGGCCTGACTAACCCCACGCATAGAGTCAAAACACTGCTTCCCACTCATGGTGTTCTCGGTCGCACTTCTCCACTGTGCTCTGCCCCCCACAGTCCGGTTTCTCTTCATGGTAAAGATCAGATGAGAGCCCACTGCTCCCTGGAGCAGGCCTTTCCTTATTCTGAACTAAGATGTGTACCCCTGGCTCGAAGATGAGCTGGGTGACTGCTCTCCAGAGGCAGCCCTGCCTGCGGCCTTGGCTTCTTTAGGGCACAGGGGAATTTGGGGTGCAATCTTTGCTACTGTCCTTTCTCCTAATATTCCCTCACATTGAGCCTGCCTATGAGACACATCCCGGCAACGTCCAGAGATGCCCTGTTCAACCGTGGGGCTGATGTGGCCCACACTTCCACTAAGAACTGTGTTTCAAAGTACAAATTCTAGAACACTCTGCAAGTAAGAAAGCCACGAGACAGGCTCTGTGTGCCCCTGACACAGCCCTGGCCTCCAGCCAGCAGGAATTCACTTTGTGCTGTCCACCTGCTGGTACAGATCATGACTTTCGCACCAACATCTACGAAGGAGAGCACGTGTGTGCACAAGTGTGCGTCTACACACAC